CCCCCCCCCTATATTCCTCATTTTTCACTCATCTCTCAATTCTCAATCTCAATTCTCATATTCTCTCATTCTTCAATCTTCATTCTTCACATATTAAAGTGCAATCAATTATTTGACTTTTTTTTTTTGGAATTTAATTTATCGTAGTATTTATTTTTTGAAGTTTGAACAATTGAATTTCAAAATTGGAACAATTGACGTTTCTTCGTGGTAACATTGGAGTTGTGGAATCATCAAGTGCTTAATTTATTGCTGAATTCGGTGCACTCCCTCCAACTCTTTTTCTTATTTACTATTTTATTTGCATATTTATTTGTTTTGTTGCTAGTAGTTAAATTTTTACAATATGTTTAATGCTGCAAAAAGAGTTTGTAACAAGATTACTAATCGGGAAAATAAAAAAAGAGGTAGTACTTCAGGTTCAGCATCTGGTAGTAATTTAAATACCTCTCCAAATATTCCTGAAATATTACCTGATAATAATATAGATTATGAACAATTGCAGGAAGATTTTGGTATAGATGATAATGAATTAGAAATGGAAGATGGGATACCACTTACACATAGTAGTGTTGGAGCTGCTAGCAGGGGTGGTGGTCGTATTGCTAGTAGTAGACCACATGTGGCCCCAACTAGTAATCGTAGAAAAAGAAGTAAGGTTTGAAAATTCTTTGAGGAAATAGAAGGTACTGATAGAGTTAAATATAAACTTTGTAATGATACTTTTAAACATAAGACTGGGGGACAATTAGGGGGGACTGGGATACTTAATAGACATATGAGAATTGAGCATCCTATAGAATGTGGATCTGATGGAGATGGAAATCAATCAACTCTAAATCCTACTACTGGTGGTCTTGTGAAATATGATAAAATGAAGGATCGTGAGGAGTTAGCAAAAATGATTGTTTTGGGTTGTCTACCTTTTTCTTTTGCTTCTTCATCATATCTTATTATGTATATTCAAAGGTTTACAATCCTTTATTTAAAGGTATCCCTAGAAGTACTTGTAGAGCTGATATCTTTAGACTTCGTGGACAATATCAAACATACATACGTTATTTGTTTAGCCATCTTCCTTGTAGAGTTTGTCTAACTTCTGATATAGGTCATGCTGTTAATGAAAATGGTTATTTGACAATTACATGTCATTGGATAGATGATACTACTTGTATGCAAAAACGTATTATCGCTTTTAGATATGATGAAGATCAGAATCATACTGCTGCGTTTATAAGCATTACTATTTGTGAAGTTGTTGAATTTTATAATCTCAAGCAAAAAGTATTATGTATGTCTTTTGATAATGTTTCTAACAATAATGCCGCAATTTCAATATTAAAACTGCATTTGCAACCACCTCTTGATGAAATTTTTCATGTTAGGTGTGCATGTCATGTTTATAATTTAATTGTTAAAAGTGGCCTTGATTTATTTTCAACTGAGATTACTCATGTTAGAAGAGCAGTTGGTGTTATTCAAGGAAATAATAGACAATCTAGAATAAAGAAATTTAAAAATAAGTGTGTCCAGTATAACCTTAAACCCAAATTCATGCCAGACGAAATTGTTACTACATGAAATTATACATATATATTTTTAAAATGTTGCTACAAATATAGATTCTCAATAACTGAAGTTGGTAATGCGCATTGTACTGATCCAAACCATATGTTAACAACTACTACTTGGGAGGTCATTAATGATGTTGTTAAATTTTTACATAAATTTTATACAGCTACTGTTGAGTTTTCTAGAGCATATTACCCTACTGTTACTATGGCTTTAGTACATATAGCTAAAATTTCTTTTCTACTCTTTGAATTTAAGAAGAAAGAAAAATATAGGGATGTTGTTGAAAAAATGCAAGCAAAATTCAAAAAATATTTCTTTCCAATTCCTCCGATTTACTTAATTGGTGCTGTTTTAAATCCTTCTATTAAGATGTCTGATTGTCACCAATTAATGAATGCTTTATATACTTATATGGAGATTGGATCAACTGAAACCCCAGGTTTATATACTTGTATGAACAAGCTAAATAAATATTTACAACAATTATACAATTATTATGCAAATGTAATTAATGATGCTGCTCTTAATGTAGGCAATGTTAATCCCACTATGCATTGTACCACTTCTGCTACTGTGGATGATGAAGAAGTCCTTGATAGTTTTAATATTTTTTCTACATTTTCTAACACTCAAACCAGTAGCAGCAACATTGATGAACTTCAATTCTACTTGCAGAAGCAAAAAGAGCCTCACACAAAGGAATTTTCACCGTTGGGATGGTGGCATGAGAATGGAAAGCAATTTCCTGTTCTTTTCGCTATGACTCGGGACGTGCTGAATGTGCCAATTTCAACTGTTGCATTAGAGAGTGCATTTAGCCAAGCAAGACAACAACTTGGAGACACCCGTCACTCATTGGGAAGCAATGCTTTGGAAGTTTTAGTATGTTTCAAAGATCGGATTAGATCGGAACAAAGAAATCAAGGACGTGAAGATGTTGATAACCTAGAAGACGAGGAACTTGGAGATATATTAACACATGGTAACCCATCCGAATTTAACACTCCAAAAGAAGGTCACTCAGTTCATATTGATTATGAAGAACTTACTAAGGCAATGCAAAACCTTTGAATTTATTCTTTTTTGGTTAATTTTCTTGTTAAATGTAATTTTGAAATAAATGTAGCACTTGAAATTTATAAGTACAATTTTTTTTCCATCTTATTTGTATTCTTTATATTAATATAACTTACAATAGTTATACAAAATACAAAAAAAAATAAAAATAAAAATAAAAAATACACTAAAAATAAAAATAAAAATAAAAAATACACTAAACCCAGCCCAACCCCCTCAACTCGTAACCCGTACAGTTCAATTTTTACCCGAATGAACCCGAACCCATTAAACCTGGTAAGCCCCAACCCGAAATCGGCCCAGACCATAACCCGTAAGGATACAAAAAATCCCAACCTAGCCCGACCCGGCCCACCCGTTAAACACCCTTACCAAAAACATGTCTTTGCTTTATTTGTGCTCCCTCTGTTCCAATTTATGTGAACCTGTTTGACTGGACACAGAGTTTAAGAAAAAATGAAGACTTGAAATTTGTAGTCCTAAAAAACTCAAAAAGGAGTTCACAATATTTGTGTGGTTATAAAAGCTTCTCACTAAGGGTAGAATTGAGAATTTAAGCTAAATTGTTTCCAAATTTAGAAAGGGGCCATTCTTTTTAGAACGGATCAAAAAGCAAATAGATTCACATAAATTGGAACGGAGGGAGTAATTATTATTATCATACACATTGCAGTAGACTTGGTTAATCTGTAAGAAATACAATCCATATTCACTTTATGTCTCCCTTTTTTTTTGTTATCTTTTGTTTTTGTTTATATTTGGGGTATTTCATTTTATGGATATATATATATATATATATATATATATATACATGTCCCCTGCCTGGAATGCCATGTCTGCGCCTCAACTCCAACGCATATCACCAGGGGAATTTGCACTGAAACAGCCAAAAGAAAATTATAATTAAAACAAAAGATGCCTGAAAATGATAAGTATATAAATAAAGCAAATAAAATGGCGACTTCCATAATACAGCTACTTGATTCTTCACCCACCATCAATGGCAAAAGAAGAATATTTTTCTAATTTATTCATTTATTCATCACCTACGATTCGGATAAATCTGTTTAACAGCAAGAAAACCATATACTCCCTCTTTTCTCGTTTTTCAGAATTAACAGGGTAGAGTCATCAATTCTAACTTCCAAGGATCAATTCATATATAAATCTCCTAAAATTAGATGATGCAAGAAGTAGCGGGCAGCAAAATAAGATGCAAGAAGTGGAACAATATCATGAGATTACATCCATCTTCCCTAAGTAATGACATGACAAGTGAATCCAGCTCACTCAAGACATAATTGGGAACATAAAATTTGAACTTTCTTCAACTCTTTTTCCAATGAGTCAAGCCGAGCCAGTGTCCAGGCCTTAGACAAAATTTTGCAGTGTCTTCTTTGAAGGACGAATGCAAGGACATGCTAAAGTCAGACATCCACAACCCATTTCACTCTGCTAGTAGCTAGTTAAGACTCAATATGACCAGGGAAGTGATAATGGCTTACCTCACAAAATGCAATAAATTTTGTTGCCACTTAGAAGAAATACAAGCTGTTTCGAACTTCAACCCTGCAGTCAGAAGAATGCTCAGAGTGAATAGAACACTTTGTCACATATACATCAAATAAATGGTTGACCATTAAGGTTATCAGCATAGGCTATGAAAAGATACTAGAAGAGTTTTAAATTGGAATGATAAAAGAAAACCATAAATGCATGACTATAAAATAACCAGTCAATAACTATGTGAAACATCAATTTGAAAGGAAAGTCTTTCTTCTTTTTTTCCCATTACATTACAAACAAACCCTTTGAAATCCTTCTACACAAAAAAAAAATATAAAAAAATGCAACCAACAGAAAAAAGCTAAAAATGTAGAACTTACCCCGAAATTACTATAAGCATTGCCACTGTTCACCTTATTCTCAAATTGCTAAGGAAGTCTGAGAGCCTGAAAGTAACAGTGATATGTAAGATCAAATCAGTCAATTACGGACCGAACGAAATAGAAAACACCCTTCAAAATTGTCACCACAACACAACGAAGAAAAAGTTTGGATGATTGGTGTAACCTAATATTTTTAGCAACCACTGTGCTTCCATCTTCAGAACCAAGATGACGCAGTACCACTACCTCCAGACGGCCATCACGGTATTGATGCTGCAATAGTGGACCATAATGTCCATAAAGCAATCAGGCTTGCATTTTGAAACAAATATATCAAAGGCTGTGAACCACAACAATAACAGAGACAAGAAAAGCGGGAAAAAGATAATCAGAAACAAAGAAATACTGCTAACTTGATGAATAGTTCTGTAAGAAATATGTAAAGTTTTACCACTTAGTGGTATTTAGAAAGCCACCCACCCATGGGTGTGTTAGCATGCAAAGAAATATGTAAAGTTTTATTGGAAACATCCATTATGGAAGAGAACAGTCCCCTGTGACATCAAGTAACTACAACCTATATTCATAATCAGAAGGTAATCAATTGCAGCATAACTTCAAACTACAAAACCAAATCTGTCACCAAACTCAGACACCCTCCTCATTCAATAAAGAAACCAAAAACCAAATGACAAAGCAAGCATATGACAACACCGTACTAAATGGGAGTCATCCCTATATCATTAGCACATACATTTCAATCTACGCTAAGTTGGATCACGTTTGAACCGCATGCTCTTCCAAAACTAAAATTCTTTTTTTTGAATTGATTTTTTTTTTGAATTGAATCCAAAACTAAAATTCTACTTCAGTGTCATTCAATATTTCAACTGAAACTAAACAACAATTGTCAAACTTACAAACTAGTTATCATTAGAATGTCCAGGGAAAGATATACTATTGATGAGACCCAAGACAATAAGCACAACCTTCACCAATAGGAAGTGTAATTACGATCGTGCATAATAGATGAGTTTAAAGTGATAAGTTGGAAGAGTAATAAATGTATATTTCGTGGTAACGCAGGTATAAGCATGAGGTTATGGAACTAATGCACAACACTAGAGGTGAGAGGGCATTGAAAATTGACGAGCAATCTCTTCTTTTAGCATAGATCTGTCGTAGTCAAACACCATAGTATTTCTCTTCTTTGGGTTTATTGGTTAATTTTTTCAATGATGCCAACCAATTCTACTAAGGAAGACATTTTCCAAACCAATTTGTGTCTACAATTTTTTTCCCACTGTGAAATTCAATTACCTGGAAAAATAGCACCAGATCCAGCCATCCAAGGCTATAACCTCCTCATTTGTTATCGTACCTCATACACCATTAAAAATATGAGAGTACGAAAAACCTATCATTAGGATGGTTGTCTATAAATGTTTGGAAGTACCTTAGAGAGATTATAGTAAACCTAACCAAGCTATTCAACGTACTAATAAGGTGTGGAAAGAGGTTATTAAACTGGTATTAAAGAGAGAGAGAGTACATTGTTTCTGATATACAAGAACAAAAGAGATATTCTAATTGTAGGGTTCATTATACGAATCGAGTGATGAAACTTTTGGAAAGAGTGATGAAAGTGTGATTAAACTATTGACTTTGGAATATTCATTTTTGACAAGGTAAAGTATTAAGAGTGATCTGAATCATCTACAACAAAGTACTAAAGCTTATGGAAATCTACAGAGAGAGGAAAAAGCATCTCTGCAAAATAATCATTTTTTCCAGATATGGAGTGCTAAGAAAATTCCTTCAATTAATGCTAGAGAAGAAAGAAATTCATATCAAATACTCCCTCCGTTTCAATTTATATGAACCTATTTCCTTTTTAGTCCGTGCCAAAAAGAATGACCCCTTTCTTTATTTGGAAACAATTTACCTTTACACAATAATTTATAGCCACACAAAATATATGTGGCTCATTTTACACCACAAGACAAAAGTCTTCTCTCTTTTCTTAAATTCCATGCCCAATCAAATGGATTCACATAAATTGAAACGGCGGGAGTATATAAAATGTCCTAAAAGATACCCATAATGATTGGCCATAAGTGTAAGAACAACGTGAAGGGAGAGAGAGAGTTTCTCCAGCCGTGCATTCATAATCTGGATCTCCCTTGAGCCTTTACTTGTTTATTCTGACAATGGATGAGCCAACTAACAGTTCACAGGATGAGGTTTCATGGTTATGTCAATTGAACAGATCAGTGAATGAGTCAAAGAGAAACTTGATCAATCGAGATACACTATAGATAATTTGAGTTTCAGGATAAATAGAACCAAACGAAAATATATTCCCTCCAAGTTTAGCCCCATTCATGTACTTAAAGTGGCACTTCATTGCGCTGCAAATATATTCTCTTAATCTTTCCTTGACGGATTTATCATTAATGCGGACTCAAGTCATCCAAACATCATTTGTGTACTGTGGGCTATCAGCAATGTTGTTAAATGCCAGCTTAGCTTAAAATCCCTAAAGCTCAGTGAAGCTCAGGTTGTGCGCTTGCCTTGCCTAGTATGGTGCTTCAGTGTAGGCATCAAGGTTCAAAGGCGGCAGTGCCATCTCTTCACCAATAGCACAATAATAGACAATAAATATATTTGATAAAACGATACATTAGTTGTTAAAAAATGTCATGACTAACTTTTAGTGATCAACAACAACAACAACAACGACCCAGTATAATCCCACAAGTGGGGTCTGGGGAGGGTAGTATGTACGCAGACCTTACCCCTACTCCGAAAGGTAGAGAGGCTGTTTCCAGTACGCAGACCTAACTTTTAGTGATCAAGTATAAGAAATTAGAAATTTAGCATAAGAAAACAAGCCACTAAAAGCCTAAAATTACATTTTTTCATCTAAATCAGAAATTTAATATGGTTTTTGAACTTGATGGACATGATTTTAATTGAATATAAAGCTTAATTACAGTTTTTACTGTGTTTTGTCCAAATAATATTTTTTGTGCTTATAGATTTTCTTAATACATTTCTATATTTTATTTTTTCTTCATTGACGGTATTCTTGCTAATGCCCACGCTTTAGTGAGGATTTGTGCTTAAAGCCTCAACAAATTTCAGTGCTTTTTGCGCTTTTGACTACTCGAGCTNGTACATCAGAGAGAAAAAGACACTTGCTTTCCCTAGGAACAAGGGGAAAGGGGGAGCATTTTATAGATGCACAAGTTTCAGCAACGTAAAGATACACCACCCACAATTAAAAGTTTACTCAGAAAGTTCATGTGCTATATTTTCTGAGAGCTTAGACATCAAGGTAACAGATTTATTTTCATTATACAGAAATTCATCAAAATTAGATTGAACATGTACATTGTGTTGGGGGTGTTGGTGTCAATTGGGAAATGGTGAAGATGCACATTGTGTGTAGAAGCAAATACCTCAAAGGTGTGTTATGTGAAGATACTCAAGCTCCAAAAGAAAAGCAAAAGAAAATATATGTAAATAAAAATAAAAATAAAAAGGGGGAGTTTTTTGAGAAAATTAGAGAGGTAACTCAAGGTTGTTCAATATTAGTAACTAGAGGTCAACAAGAGCTATGCGGTTTAAAAAGAAGCAAAGTGCAAAAGAAAGACAAATGTGAGTAGTGTTCAAGGAGGGTGTAGTCATTTGTATCCCAAATGCTTATCCTACCCTTCCCTAAGCCTACAGTACAAGCTTAAAAAGTCCTTATGGGATCTCCAACCGAATGTTCTTGAATTGGCGGCGAATTAAAATAAGGGCAAGCTTATAGCATGATATTTGTAACATTTGAAATTCTTTGTTAGAGAGCGAGTGTCTTTGCGCCTTTGTCCCTTGTGTTGTTGTAAATATGGTGATTTTGAGACTTTCTTTCTTGTGAGAGCACATGGATTATGATGGATTGGTGACATTGATAAATTTCGAATTGAGTAAATTGAGCATATGTAGTAGATTAGTGCTTTTGAGTCACTTCTTGAGGCTTGGTTGTTGTCATTTAATTAATCTGAAACACCATTGCATTCTTGAGATTGAGTTTTAAATGTGGGAGTTATTTGGTTGAAGTTCACATGCTTGAGCCTAATTATTAGTACCAACCAAAGCCATAAGTGTTGTGCTTAATTGGAGAATGTGATTTGAAATTATAGCGATGTTACTTGAACTTTAGATGGAAGAGCCTCATTGAGAATTTGATTTTGATTTGCTTGAGGACAGGTAGGGTGGTAATTTGAGTCCAAACCCATCCAACCCGCCCAAAGATTAATGGGTTGGGTTATAAACATTTTAGCTCATGGGTCTATTTGGGTTGAGCCCAAGTTAACCCATTATTTTTTATAACTCATTCTGACCCATTAAGCAGCCCAAATACAACCCATGAAACTCACCCAAAGCAAAAGGATCTCAATCCAACTTATCTAGTTGCCCCAATTTTACTTTTTTTTTTTTGTATTTTCAATTTTCTGTTTTTTTGTTTATTTGCACCATCCAACCTCCCTAACCCCTCCTCCCCGCGCGCAACCCCCCTCAATTTTTTTTTTGTACTTTTTTTATTTGTATTTTCAATTTTCTGTTTTATTCCAATACTTGAATCTTGTTTATGGGAATATTTATATTTAAAGTTTGGATTAAATATCTTGTGGTGCTTATGTATTGATGATTTTTATTAATATTGAAGTGAGTTGATTGTTACTTTAATTATTCTTGTTCTTTTATGTTTCCAAAGGGATTAGCTAATCCTAGGACTCGACCATTAACTTCGAATTAATCATGGAAAAGGTAATTTGGAGTTGAGAAAGATTAATTAACAAGAACTGGAGATATTAACCCTCACTTTATATATTCTACCTAGGGATAGAATTGAACTACTTGTAGTCACATCGGATGCACTCAGGGGTCGTTTGGTAGGGCGTATAAGAATAATGCTAAATAAGGTGCATTAGTAATGCAGGGGTTAGTAATGCATGAGTTAGTAATGCAAGTATTAGTTATACAGAGATTATTTCTTATGCATTATTTGGTGTGGTGTATTAAAAATTAAAATACATTGCATAATTTTTAAGAAATTTAATTATTTACAAAAATGCCCTCCATATTCTTTAACTTAAGGGACTTTAAAGATAATTTTGTCTTTAACCATGCTAATGCATGCATTAATAGCCTTTGTATAGCTAATGTCATGGTTTTCTATACATTAGCTATACATAGGATAATACCAAATAGAGTGTATAACTAATGCTTGTATTAGTTATACATAGGTTGAAAAAGTGTACCAAACAAAGCATTACTAATACACAAAACTAATGCATGCATTATTTTCTCTAACACACTCTACCAAACGACCTCTTAATCTCTTAATTGTTTTAAGGATAATACAATTAGGAAGTCTTGTTAGTCTTCAGAAAAAGCTAATATAGAATTATTATCCGAGGCTAATTAACATAAACTCGCTCATATTTATAAAATCGTGAAATACATTGGATCGTTACTCGAGTGTAATTCCCCGTATATCCATACTTGTAGCCATTGATCATTTTATTTGCTTTCTAGGTTAGTTTACATTTTCGAATTTAGATATAAATATTTTCTCAAAACCTTTATTAAGTGTTTGACTTAGCATAATAAGCGATAATTCTCTTACATTGCCTAATCGCCTACATATTGTTCTCTGTGGGATTCGACCCCGACTCATAGTTTGGTATATTATATTCCATGCGACCATGTCCGCTTACTTTTTAGTAGTGGATCTGGACGTCATCACAGTACTTGCCAAATAAATCAAAAAACATATGGGACCCTACATTGGGTAAGTTCGAAGTTGAAACAAAATAAAACCACGTCATTTCAAAGCCTAACGAAGCTTTTGGATCGACAGAAAGGCAGATGAAGGTGACAAGAGAATGGGGGTGAGTTAGTTTTTTCTACTCAGTTGATTTTTAGCAAGAGAAACTGAGAAGGAGAGAAAGAAGGTCATAAACAAAATGTTTAGTTTCGTTTATACCAACAAAAAGCTGGTGCAAAAAGGTCCTTTTTTAATTCCAAAAAGAACAAATACTTGATTAAAACCAAATGACACACATTCCTTTTTTCCTACTCATAATCAATTTAAAAAGGTTTACCACTCCTCTCCTCTCTTTATTTGTCTTCTAAATGGGCTACTTTCCTTCCTCTTTCTTCCTTTCTTCCAAAATATATTCCCATTGGGCTGATAACAATGACTACTACTTGGAAATTAGAAAACACATCTCCCACAACACCATAAGCTGACTTTTCAAATCTCACTACCACTAAATGAACATAATTGTTGTCATGAAAAGGATCTTTCTTTTTTGGAAAACCGAGATTTCTCCGAGGGCCAACAGGCACAGAGTTCAAATCTCCACGGGTAATGGGCCATCCTGCTATCCTTCTCAACTTAAATACCAAACTATTGGTCCGTGGTTGGGTTTAGATAAGTACTCTTATCACCGAACCGAAGTGTATAGGTATTATCATTTTTTTATAACCATGGTATCCGGGCCAGCAGAGGCGTACCTCTACTAATTCCACGGGGTACTTGTTAGCTCCCAAAAACACAAGTACTGGGTACCTGTAGGCATTATCATCGAATAGATTACCCAGCTTATCATTCCCTAACGGGCACTTGTGATCATATGCAACAGATTCTCTTAACAAAGTTCCTCTGACATGATTGAAAGTAGTGCCTAATATGTTAATGAATGTGTTGCGACTGCAATTAAGAAAATCACATAAAATATTTTAGGAACTTCCCATGTTTGTTGCACCTCGAGACAAGTTACATCCATGCTAATGCCTAATAGTTCTAAAATCCAGTCAGGTTTACAGAAATCCAAAGGAAAAACAAAGAACACAAAACGGAAAAGGGGAGAGATGAACCTGAGTTTGGCTTTGTAGCTGTCAAGGATATCTTGCTTTTCTTCTTTTGTGGAGTACCAAATGACACTTGGAATGACAAAATACGAAAGCTTCCGGCATACGGGACAGGTCCTAAATGTAGAGTTGATATCAATCCCAGAGGAAGGAGAACCACTGCGCCAATTCCTGATACACGATATACAAAATGGATGATCACACTCAGAAAGGATCCCAAACTTCCGCTCTGCTGCAGTTGTCTTGGAGAGTACACGTTCAAGACACACACAGCACTCTATTTCTTGACTATGCTTCAATAAATCAAGGTGCTTTTGCCTCTTCTCACATGTTTTCATATGCTCCTCTCTTTCTTGAGGCCTGAAAGGATGCAAGCAATGCTTCGCACAGATTGGACATAAATCTCCATGAATGTATGGACATTTTTCTCCCCGTGGACAATTACCAGCAGCAGCAAGAGAGCAAATTGATTGATTAGCTGGATTAATTCTCTTCAACTCAACAAAGTTTTCAATCTCTTCCACATGATGATGCTCTGAATTTTCACTCCATGCAGCTTGGTTGGGAGGGTAAAAAGGTCTGCCTGAAGTCAAATACTCAGCAGAAAGTCCTGCACCATCTGCTAGCATTCCAGGAGATAAGGTAGTGGGAGAAGGATCTGAGTGCAGATGTTGAGCTGGAGCTGACGAAGATGGAGGTGAATGCTGTTGAGAAACTTTAACATGTTCGTATCTACACCTGCTCCCATAGGCACATAGTCCTTTTTGGTAGTATGTGCATACCTGCAACAATAATCCAAGTAAGAGCCATTAGATGCCAAAATGGCTAATCCACTTTGATCGCCAAAAATAGAATGTGCAGAACATTACATTATTTGGAGGGCCTTTCCAAACATGTGAGAACTCACAGTACTCCCCTTTCAGACATGCACCATGTACAAAAAACTTGCAAAGAACCCTGGAAAATATATAAGCATGTCTGTAAGTGCATATGGCCATCTACAAGAGACTACAAATTCATTTACAAATTTCAATTAACAATAAACTTTGCTAATCAATATTTTCCTTTTCTCGGCATAAAATTGTTGATCAAATTCTTTTGTTGTATAGTTATGGTAAAAGGACAAATGATCAAAAAATGCTAGAGTGATGATAATTTACCTCTTCAGATATTACCTTTTAACATTGCTAGACATACTCCATCAACAAAAAAAAATATAAAAGAAACAGTAGTAGACACCATATAATAAGCAATTAGTTTAATGTCTTAAGTTCAACTACAAAATTATTTATTTCTTCCAAATGCACAGCACCTCAAAGCACATGACACAAACCGATGGCAGAAAGCTCCTTAGTGGCATCTTATCAGTCAAGAACTTTTTTATAGTACATCTCAAGTAAATATGACTGTTAAATAGGTTGTGCGATAGATTAGACTTACACGTATTATATATGAGTGAATACAAGTGACCCACATAAGAAAATATGAGTATACATTGAAAGGTTGAATATAAGGGCCCAAACATTAGCCATTTGTCTTGATACGTTCTTTCGATCTTTTCTCCCAGTTCTATGAACTTTTCACGTGATACCAGAACAACTAGTGGTCCTCCACTCAGGTCTCACCACCATCCATATATATGAGAAATATTTTGGCGCACATGGTCCAAGCAAAAAAGAATCACGTTGGCACAAAAGAGGACATGTCACACAGACCTAATTAGAATAAATAAAAATATGTATCCTCTCCACGACTCTAACTTAAACTTTTAGATGAGGTGGCTCACATAGTTCAACATGGCATCTCTACATTATAAGAATTACTTCCTGTTCATGTAGTTGGATGTTTCAAAGAAGAGAAAATTGTGCCACGTAGTTGTCCACAATCTGCACCTAAAGTTTCTTTGTCTTACGTGAGTGTTGCCCATAAACCAACAACTCCACAAGAAGAGGAACATAGTGCCAGTAAAATCTAAGAAGTCGCACCAAAGTTGAAGCTTGCACGCACTCATGTACCCACACCAAAGTTGAAGCTTGCACGCACCATCACGCGCCGATCAACTCCCGAGATCTTCATCTTCACGTGCTTCATGTGATGGCACATGAATCTATTTCCGACCATACTATTGTGAGTTTCTTTTGTTATGCAGGATCAACTACTCATTCCAAAGCCGCCCACCGCAGTCTTGGATTTGTCTTACCATTGGAACCCTAGGGCGATAACTAACGACGTTTTCTCGGTGAGGTTTAACACAATTCAAACTGTAGGCCTTTGTACTCGACTTCTAACAATCCTAACCAACCAATTCCTAATTCTTTTAACGACAAGAAACTTGATATGGTAACTTCAGTCAATTCTTGCCAGATTATTTTGGTAACTACATTAGACTTGAATCAAACTTGTGAGTTGTGACCTCTTCTAATGCGTCTCTGATTATCCTGACAAGTTTTCCAATCAACAAACCAATGAATAAGATGTTCCCGCAACTATTTCCAGAACTTATCCTCTTTGTTTCATGTTTCAACTATTTGACGGTCCTTCAATTTGTCATAAGGATTCAGAAAATTTGGTCACGAAAAAGATGGAATCTATTACTTCTCAACCTTGACATCTTCCATTCAATCACATGACACAAACATTCAATGAACATCACCACAAGATTTATGTTGAAACACATATAATCATAAGAATATACATCACCGTAATCAAAACCTAAGCATTACGATTGCAAAATGGAATTAGAAAAAAAAAACTATAAAGATCATTCAAATCCTAATTAAAACAGGGCAAAATGATAAGGCGAGACCAAATAGAAACCTTACCTTTTCGACATGGCATCAAACTATCGACTGAAAGTCGATAGCCTAACACTCCGAAGTTGAAGAATTGAAAAGCCAGAGCGAGAATTGAGCGTAATGGCATATGTGGGGCTAGGGCTTTTGCTTTTGGCGATTCGATCCCACTGCTAACTGCTGAGGCTAGTTTCCCCCTCTTCTCGACCTTCCGTTTTTATAGTTTTTGAGGTGTGGACCCAACGTTAGAAAATGAAAACTTGGGAGGGCGATTTGGAATATATGGGGCAGAATAGCCTAAATGACACTTATACTTGTGTCACTTTGTCATGCCGGCCCCCAAACTTATCATTGTGCCAATTGACACTTATATTCGTTCAAACCATGTATAATAAATACTTATGACATGAGGTTGATCCTATGTGTCATATTTGGCTTTAGTGCGTGATTCACACGCCTGTAAGGGGCGTGAGGGTAGTTTAAAAAGCCCTAACGGTAATATTGTGGCTATTTAACATCCATTTTTCTCTTTCTACCTTATTCTCTATTGTTGAACATTATAGAAACTGATTTCTATCAAAATTTGATGTATTTTTCTTTCTCGTGTTAGCTTTAGTGAAAAACAGAATTTATTTGCGGTGATTCTTCATTGCCCATCAATTTTTGTCATCTCCTTTTCTTTTCAAGGCCGATTTTTTTTTCTTCTTCGGCAAGAAATAAGCTATTGCGGCGTCTTCTCCTTCAGCAATGAAGAAGGACCTTCGTGTTATTGTGGAGTTGTTGCAGATCTTAAAATGTCACGAATAACCACCAATCCTAGAAGAAGATTCCTAGGCTACCGAAGATATGCGATTGGTGAAGGTTGTGGCTTTTTTCGATGGGTTGATCATATAATTGAGGAAGAAGACTACAAGACTCTTCTTGCGGGTCTTATTATGAAGAGTGATCGATGCAATTGTCAGAGAAGACAAGGAAGGTCAAAGTTCAGAGTTGCTGCTATTATAATTATGGTTGTAGTTGTTCTAATGTTAGCTCTTGTGTTATGTATTTAGGATTGATAGCGTACTTTCTTATTTCCTGGGTTTAGGCTACATATTTTGTGTTGATGTAAAAAAAATTCATGGAATATATTGACAAAGGGAACATTCAAGTCGAAAAATTATAATTTACCATTACAGCAATAATACTTCCACTACTAATGTCATGGCTTGTTATAGGTAGTTAATAAAACATCTAAAATAAGGAAGTTTCTTTACAAAATATTGTCTATGATAGGCAGACAACAAAAACATCCATAATGAAGTAGCTTTACAAAATATTATATACCATATGCAGTTAATAAAAATATCCATCATTAAGTCTTCAAAATATGAGTAGATCACTTCAATTAATATCTGTTGTGTCTTGGTTATTTGGTGTGGATTGTGTCTTTGGTGTGGCTTGAGTGGTTTTAATAGAGTTTCCTGTGATGACCCGAAAGGTCATCACTTGTTTAAAAATAAAATTTCACGTTCCGAGGTCTTAAAACCTCTCTTAGCATTACCTCGATTTGCGTGCACAGTCCGAGCGCATAGCCAGAAAGCCTAAATGTGAAAATCTATGAAAAATGATAAATTTTGACTATAAAATGAATTAATTTGACTTTGGTCAATGTTTTGGGTAAACGGACCCGGACCCGTTATTTGACAGTCCCGGAGGGTCCGTAGGAAAATATGAGACTTGGGCGTATGCCCAAAATCGAATTCCGAGGTCCCAAGCCCGAGAAATGAATTTTTGAAAGATATTGTTTTCTGAAAAATATAAAGATTTTTGAAAGTGAAATGTTATGTGAAACATGTGGTATCAGGCCCGTATTATAGTTCCGGAGCCCGGTATAGGTTCAATATGATTATATGTATTGTCGGTAAAGTTTGGTAAGAAACAGAACCCATTTGGCGTGATTCAGACCTTAAATGCAAATTTGATGTTTAAAGAAGTTTTGAGAAATTTCATTGATCTTGAGGTTTATTCGATGTTCGTGATGTTATTTTGGTGATATGAGTACACGAATAAGTCCGTGGGATGTTTTTGAAGTTGTGTGTATATTTGGTTTGCAGCCCCGAGGACTTGGTGAGATTTGGATAGGCCACAGGGTGCATTTTGAACTTAGAAGAATTGCAGAAATTTTGCTGGTATGATCAGGCCTGCAATGCGAAGCCTGGCTCGCAAATGCGATATCGCAAATGCGATATCGCAAATGCGAGGGCTTGGTCGCAAATACGAACCAGCCCAGGCTTGCCTTATCTCGCAAATGCAAGCTATGTTTCGCAAATGCGACCTCGCAAATGCGAGGATCCCCTTCGCAAATGCGATGTATGCTGAGAAGGCTTGAGGTCGCAAATGTGACTTATTGTTTGCAAATGCAAAAAGCCCAGATTTCCCAAGGGTTCGCAAATGCGAGTTTCCCTTCGCAATTCCCAAGACAGCAGAGGTCGGAGTTCGCAATTCTCATATCTGAGACCTGCAACTTTATACTTAGACGATTTTAAACCCATTTTTCATATCTTTTCAAAACACAAATTCCTTTGGGCGATTTTTCAAGAACAACTCTTCTTCCAAATCGATTGTAAATTAATTTTAACTCATTTCCTTCAATCATTAACATCTTTTAACATGATTTCAACTTAAAATCAATGGTTTTCATGGGGAAAATTGGGTGTTTTGTGTAGAACCTAGGTTTTTCAAAAAATTGGGAATTTAAACCTCGATTTGAGGTCCGATTTCAAACAAATTATATATTTGAGTTCATAGGTGAATGGGTAGTCGGGTTTTGGTTCGAACCTCGGGTTTTGACCATGTGAGCCCGGGGGCAATTTTTGACTTTTTGGGCAAAACTTTGGAAAACTCATTTTTATGCATTCAAATTGATTCATTTGGCGTTTATTGATGTAATTAAGTAATTTATGACTAGATACGAGCGAATTGGTGGTGGAATCAAGGGGTAAATCTATAATTGAATCGTGAATTGTGTTCGTGGCATCGAGGTAAGTGTTTGGTTTAACCTTAGCTTGAGGGATTATGAGTTGTGTCCTATTGCTATTTGCTTCTTGCTGAGTACGACGTATAGGCATGGTGACGAGTATCTATACGTTAGTGTCAAGCATGACCGTAGGTCTTATATTGTGATTTTCATGACTTCGTTGCATTATTCATGCCTTGGTGAAGATTTCTATTTGTTGTGTAAAGTTGTGGAAAGAATTGTGACGTATGAACATTGAAGAGCGTTGGCTCCAGTTGTATAACGAATTGTGAAAGTATAAATGATAATTGAAACTCTAGAGCAATGGTTCGAGTTGTGAAGTAAAAGTGAGAAAGAGAAGAGATCATTATGTTGTCCCCTTGCCAGACTATTGTTGAGTTGTGGTTCCCTTGCATTGTGTTCTTAATTGATATTACGGATGTTTAGGTTGATGATTCTTTGTGTTAGGTGTTTTAACAAGCTTAGTTATAGTTGAGGTAGCTAGGTGTTATAACAAGTTTGGTTATAGCTGAGGTAGTTAGGAGTTATAGCAAATTTGGTTATAGCTGAGGTAGTTAGATGTTGTAACGAGTTTGGTTATAGCTGAGGTAGTTAGGTGTTGTAACAAGTTTGGTTATAGCTGAGGTAGTTAGATGTTGTAACGAGTTTGGTTATAGCTGTTTCTTCCTTGCCAGGATATTGTTTGTTGATATTATTGTTCCCTTGCCGGAATTCCTCGTGATTATTGTTGGCTTGTACATGGGAGCGGGTGGTACGCCTACCACAAGATATAATGAAATGGGAGCTGGTGGTACGCCTACCACGAGATAAATGAAATGGGAGCGGGTGGTACGCCTACGACGAGATACATGAAATGAGAGCGGGTGGCATGCCTGCCACGGTATAAATAAAATGGGAGCGGGTGGCATGCCTGCCACGAGATACAGGAAATGAGATCGGATTGCACGCCTGCAACAAGATGTAAAAAGAAAGTGAAACCTGCCTTTGTTTTCCTTATTCTTGTTAGTGGTAGATTTTTTATTCCTTTATAATTCTCTTGATATTTTGTTTTACCTGTTAGTCCCCGAAGCATGTTTCTCCCTCCTATCTTTAATTGTTTATTTCTTTTCCGTTGTATATATTTGAACTGCACAGGTTTATTTGGTAGTCTGGTCCTAGCCTCGTCACTACTTTGCCGGGTTAGGCTAGGCACTTTCCAGCATATGGGGTCGGTTGTACTGATACTACAGTCTGCCCTATTTTGTGCAGACCCTAGTGTTGTGGACTGATAGTAGGCTATATAGTTGATATTTACACCTTAATATGACCATACTTTATTGTTATTTTATAGATAAATTGCTAACAAAATACTCTAAATAGTGTTCTTTTGTTTAGCAGGGAATATTATATGAGAGGAAGCAACATGGAGTATTTTGGAGGCAATAATGTGAAGAAAAACGCCCACTCGAGAAGTACCCAAACACAAAGAAGCATAAATGGCCTGGGCAAGAAGGCCACCGCGACCGCGGTGAACCGCGGTAGATTAACAACGTAAAGCAAAAAGGTCAGCATTCACCGCGGTTGGCCGCGACCGCGGTGCACTATTCACGCTGCTGGAAAGTTTGAGGACCAAAGTGTAAAATCGGGAAAACTTTTGTAAAACCCTTANCTTGAACTCTTGTGGAATTCAGGTGTATGACTAGAAATTCTTCGAGGACTGGAGAACTGCTTGAAGGACTTTTAGACCCCGAGAAAATATTCAGGGCATTGAACCGTGCCAACAAGAGAATCCAACAATCACAACAACCACACCAGCTTGAAATTGACATGGGTGATGTAGAGAACATTAACGGAAACATCAGGGATGAGCCAACTGACCCAAACTTCAGAGTGGTGGCACCTCTTGTGCCAGAAGCTGCACTTTATGATTGGGCTCAACCCACAGCTGACAACCTGGCAACTGCCATAGTTGTGGCCGCAATTCAAGCGGAGACATTCTAGATCACCAACAACATGCTGCATCTGCTACAGAATAAAGGATTGTTCTATGGGTCACACATTGAAGACCTTTAGCAACATTTGAAAAAATTTCTATCAATTTGTGTAACTTAAAGGCAGCCAAATGTGACCCCAGAAGCTATCAAACTATTACTGTTCCCGTTCTCTGTGACTGGGGAAGCTCAGACTTGGCTGAATTCGCTTCCAATCAATTCCATTGTCACCTGGGAGGAATTAGTAAAGC